GTCTAAGTTCTTTTTCTACACTTAGTTGTAATAGTCTTTAAGATAATAGAAGAACAAATGTTTTTAAACAATAAAACCAAACAAACTAAACCTGTTGCAGTGGAGTCGATTCTGACTCGTAGTAACCCTATGGACAGAGTAGAACTGCTCCATAAGGTTTCCAAAGAGTGTCTGTGGATCTGAACTGCTGATCTTTTGTTTAGCATCTGAGCTCTTAACCACTGACCACCAAAGATCCTGTTAAACAATAATTTCACGATATATCAGGTTCATCAAATATGTATATTAGAATTTTGGAAAGAAATATTTTTGTTAAACCAATGAAAGTATGTAAAAATTATAAAAAAAGGATAACTAATGAATAAAAAATAATCTATTATATTTTAGAAAATGTCAAATAGGAGCTCTACCTTGTTCCTAGATAATGGAATATGGGGTATCCATTTTATTTTTTAAAAGGTGCACAATCTGAGTAAAATATGTCTATCTATGTAAGTGTAATGAAAACAGCTCATTAAAAAAAAAACTAGTAAAAATAATTAAGTAGTGTCAATAGCCAGAAGAGTGTTATATGCATTTAACAAAAACTTGAGGTGAGCCTAAGGTTCAGCTACACAGAAATTTCACTGGAAAAGGCAGCTGGAGTTCTCTTCTCTTGGTCCTGGTCATCATTCCATTCCTCACTTCGCTTTCTTACTTACAACCTCCATTCCTTCTTTACACCATTAAATCCAGTGTAATTCATTTCTATTTAAGGTACACCTTTATAATCCTTGTGGATACCAAACGGGCTCTTGTGAAACGCAAAACTTATTTCCAGGGATCCAAGATCCCCAGGACTAGCTGGTGTTGTACCTCCACAGCATTAGAACAGTGCTTTATACGTAATAAATATTCAGTGAAACATTAATAGTTATAAAGGTTTCAGCAAATTATTCTAGAAAAAGAATTAGTTGAGTTTCCAGGTTTCACCTAATTGGGAAAATAACAAAGAATTAAGCAAGCCACGTGGCAAAGTGGCATGTACAGAATGATTGTAACAATGTTGAAACACGTGCATCAGCAGAAAGTATTTTCGACATTTCAACAATGAGCACATGCTTTTACAAGCAGAAGAAAAGAATCTAAAAGTGAAAAAGAAATACACCAAACTTAAATTTATAAGCATTAAAGGAGTTAAAATGTTAGAAGTTTACCGAGACTAAGAGTTGTGTTTACTGAGACTACAACTATTCCTCCTCCTCCAGGTTTCCTGATTGTTCCAGCAGGACATGAGGAGCTACCTGAGTTAGAATTCTACAAGGGTCAGCTAGGAAGTGTGTTCAGTCCATGGAATGGTGCCACACTCTTTTTTGTGAACACCTACAAGACCTGCAAGATCCTGCCCCAGCGTCCCTCCTTACCATCATTGCTTCCCACTCTCCCCTTTCTTCTGGGGCTCTAGCCATGCTAGCCACCTCTTGATTCCTCAAATACATCATATTCTTTTTCATGCCCAAATCTTTGAGTCTAATTTTCCCTCTGCCTAAAATATTTCTCCCTCTGTCTTTGCCTAGCTAACTTTTTTTTTAGGTCTCAGTTTAAATGTGACTTCCTTTGTGAGGTGGTCCTTGGTACTCCCAAATTAGATTTAGAATAAAACTGCCACACAGTCCCCATTGCTTAGCAAGGTATGGCAAAGGCTTAATAAAATCTTAGGATCTTGTTTCTGACTGTTTGGAAGATATGTGTTCTGTTGGCCTTGATGGTTACTGGGGGCCTCGAGTATTCATTCATTTGTTCATTCAATTACAAAAGTTTTTAGCATGCCTACTGTCTTTGTTATCCAGCACTGCTATAACAGAAACACCACAAGTGCATGGCTTTAAGAAAGAAAAATTTATTATTTCGCCGTCTAGGAGGCTAGAAGTCTGAATTCAGGGTGCCAGACCAGGGGAATGCTTTCTCTCTCTGTGGGCTCTGGGGGAAGGTTCTTGTCATCAGTCTTCCCCAGGTCAAGGAGCTTCTCAGCACAGGGACTCTGGGTCCAAAGGACTCGCTAATCTCCTGGCTCTAATTTCTTGGTGGTATGAGGTGCCCCTGTCTCTCTGCTTGCTTCTCTCTTTTATATCTCAAAAGAGATTGACTCGAGATACAGTCTCATCTTGAAGACTGAGTCTTACCTCATTAACATAACTGCCTCCAATCCTCCCTCATTAACATCACAGAGGTAGGTTTTACAACAAAGAGGAAAACCACATCACATCACAAAATGGTAGACAATCACACAACACTGGGAATCATGGCCTAGCCAAGTTGACACATTTGGGGGGAACACAATTCAATTCATAACACCTACTATATGCTATGTAGTATGAATGCAATTATAAATAATTCACTGTATTGTCTTTGAAAAAATTCCAATTTAATACAAAGACACAAATATTTAATCAATGTGTATAAAGTATTTTAGGATGATGGTGGAAGTGATGGCACAAAGGAGGCAGTGGTAAATTCTACTTAATGGAGGAAGAGGTAGAAAGTCCTGATGAGGTGTTCCTTCAACTTATCCTGAAAGAAGTTTGGATATTCACCAGACAGACTATGTGGGCATTTAGATACAGAGTCAGTGATGTCAGCAATTTGAGACATCACTGCAAGTAGGGGGATTGCCACTATCTATGTGGTTGCAGCATAAGATGTGAGGAGAGGAATAGAGAAATGGGAAAAGGCTGAAGAGGCAGTGAAGCTCCATACTTTCTGTGCCATGTTATGGAATCTGGACTTTTATCCTTAAGGCAATGGGTAATCAGTAAGCAGTTTTAACCAGATTTTCATTTTCAGAAATTCACTGTCAATAGTATAGTGAATGATGTAGGGGACAAGAGAATGCCCATACTATACACTCTTCATAAGAAGATCCCATCTTGTGCTCAAGAGTGGTCCAGCCAAGTAGTCCCTCTGCCAACAAGTCACTCCTCCTTAGAGAGGGTACTTATCACTTATCCACATTGCATTTGCTGGAGAACGCCTGTAGCTAAAGAGCTTACAGAGACAGAAAATGATAGTAAGTAGTGAAAAGAGCATGGCAAAGATCCAGCAATAGGGTCTAACATCTCTTAAACCTGGCACTTTAATGCTCTTTATTTTAAACAAAGATGGAGAAGAGAGGTATGAGTGAAAAAAAAATTTTACCTTTATAAGCAAATTATAAGCTTATAAGCAAATTTGCAAGTATGCATATGTACATAAAATTTCAAAATAGAAGCAAGTTTACCATTACATGCAAATTTATGTAAACTTTAGAAAATTCTTAAGAGCGCTCATTAACATAAGTTTTGAACTTTATCAAACAAGTGTAACCCTCTAGCAAATAAGTAGACTTCTTTCTTCTCCAACAACTATTCCTCACAGGAAAGGACCCTCTGGTGGAAATTTTGTCCTGAAGTAGAGACTGAAGCCCAAAGAGATGAAGAAGAAGAAAAAAAAAAGCACCCAAGTTTACAGAGCAGGACTCCTACTCTGACATTAGCTTTAAAAACCATCCAAAGTTAGGCCATAGAGGTCTCGTGGAACATCTGGCTTAATTGGCATAACACAGTTTATAAAGACAATGTTCTGCATTCTACCTTGGTGAGTAGCGTCTGGGATCTTAAAAGCCTGTGAGCAGCCATCTAACATACTCCACTGGTCTCACCCCTTCAGGAACAACAGAGAATGAAGAAAACAAGACACAAGGAAAAGATTAGTCCAAAGGCCTAATGGACCACAACTACCACAGCCTCCACCAGACTGAGTCCAGTACAACCAGATGGTGCCTGGCTATGGTCACTGACCACTCTGACTGGGATTACAGCAGAGGGTCCTGGACAGAGCTGGAGAAAAATGTATAACAAAATTCTAACTCACAAAAAAAGACCAGACTTACTTGCCTGACAGAGACTGGAGAAACTCTGAGAATATGGTCCCTGGACACCCTTTTAGTTCAATAATGAATTCACTCCTGAGGTTCACCCTTCAGCCAAAGATTAGACAGCCCCATAAAACAAAATGAGACTAATGGGACACAACAGTCCAGGGACAAGGACTAGAAGGCAGGAGGGGACAGGAAAGCTGGTAATAGGGAACCCAAGGTTAAGAAGAGACAGTGTCGACATGTTGTGGGGTTGTTAACAATCATCATAAAACAATATGTGTACTAACTGTTCAACAAGAATCTATTTGTTCTGTAAACCTTCCTTTAAAGTACAATTAAAACAAAAAGAAAGTTAGGCCATAGTACCTCTCTTTCCAATCCAGGTGTACATGCTCTCCACACTTGCTTTTAGGCAAAACTCTAAATCATAACCAGAACTTGAGCGTGTCTAACACTGAGGACAGCACATTGCTTAGAGGAACAAAGTCCTTGAGTAAATTTCCAAAATTGCATACACTTTATCCAAGACTGTCTGTGCATGGCATTTTCTATTTAGACTCTTCAAAAACTGAATGTTGGCCTAGTTGATGTGAGATTGAAATTTGCCACCTACATTCTTAGAGGCATTTGTTTTAATTCTGCAAATTTAGTTGCTTTGATGCAGTTTCTTATTGCAGTCGATTAAACCCACACACAGAGCAAGTAAATAAATATGTAAATGCCTTAAGAACAATTTGATTTAAAAAAATTTTTTAAACTTCCTTTCTTCCAACAGTCTAATAACTGTACCTAGCCTATAAAATGACTTTTTTCACAATTAGTTTTTCTTCCATTTCCTGAAAAATAAATAAACTTATTAGTTCTAAACAAGGAATTTCCTTGCTTAGACAAAAGTAGAGACCATGGAGACTTGTTATTATAAAGCATTTTCAGCTCTAAAGGGCAATAGTTCTGACTACATAAATAAGCTTTTATATTTTCTAATATTTAGTTAAATTTTAAAGAACTTGTTAATTATTCCCACATAAATTCATATGGTGCAATATAAAGAATTTTACCAATAGCCTTAAATGAACCTGCATCTAGTTGAAAAAAAGTCACTTACCTGATAGGAGTAACAAAAGAAATATCTCTTTATACATCCTTGGGTGCTTATATCACTTTCAAAATTCAAGGTAAGGACATGAAGATTCTACAGTACTTTCCCCCAACAACCACCAAAGCTGTCTAAATGCTATACTTGACAAAGACAGCCCACATGTCTATCTGGCTCTCCCAGGCTCCTATGGCCCTAATCAGCCAGTAGATGTCTGTAGGCATAGTCAACTACATAAAGTTGTAAAATTTCTGTGAATAAGTGGATGTTAAACAGGGCTTTTTACAGTAGAATCTTCAGTTGAGTAAATTGGGTAGAAAGTATCCAAGCAAATTTAGAACCACTAAACAACTGACATAGTTTCCCTCAACCCTCAGAGACTAGGCCATGAGTAGGATCTCTCTTCTTCTGCCCTTGGTGTTTCTTTGTGTACAGGGCCCCTAGCCTTCTGTAGCTAAATTCTGCTTTGAAAAAGTCTGTTTACATCATTCACAGATTAAGGTCAATTTAAATATTGTTATGTTTAATTTAGAATATACTTTTAGCTTAGAAGGTGACTTACTGTGATGCAGTGAATTACTTAATATGGCCCTTCTAACCATAGTCTCTGTAACTCCCACCAAAAGACTTTGTGGGACTTTGCAAATAAGGTGCTTATGGACTATCGAGTGGATTGTAGAGATGGTAATAATGTAAATATGGTGCATGGCACCCTTTTGAGGGTGCGACCGTACAAATAAGGTATATGGAACCACAACAAGGGGATTGGTCAGTTTTGCCATCCCTCTAGGCTTAAAGTGGGTCATCCTAGAGGCAGAGAGGGAGGATCTCACTACACCAAGAAAGAAGAGCCAGGAGTGCAGCACATCCTCTGAACCCGGGATCCCTGTGCTGAGAAGCTCTTGGAACCAGGAGACCAAGAGAGAGAGCTGTAACACCAAAAATGGTAAGAAGAGGCAACAGAGAAATGGCAGCAGGAGACCGGCAGGAGACCAACAGGAGATGCCATGGTAGGCTTCCCAGCCTGTGGAGCAAGAAACCTGAGCTCCTTAGGGCAGGGGCCTTGCTGGCAGAGTAGGGTGCCTCTGGGCACTTGGTGGAGCTAGGTTCGCTGACCGATGAGCTAGAGCTGAGCACCTTCAGGCTGAGGCTTACTGGTGGAGTGGGGTGCCTCTGGGCACTTATCGGCAGAGTTAAAAGAGCTTTGTAACACTTGCCTGAGCAGGGGAGAGGCTAGGCAGGGGGCCAAGGGACCAAGGGCCAGAGAGAAACCCACTTGAAGACATGGTTGAGAAGAGGCTGTCCTGATTGGAGAACTGTATCCTCAGCACTCATGAACCTGAATTGTAACCTGTTACTTCCCTAATAAACCTCATGTCTTAGGCTAGGTTCTCTAGAGAAGCAAAACCAATGAAGCGTCTATATACATACATATAAATATTCACATGAGACATAAATATCTTTTTTTCTTTTTTGAGAATGGTTCCCAACCGCTTGACAGGTCAACAGTTCTCCCCTTCTCGACCTTGGGCTTCCCATTACCAGCTTTCCTGCCCCCTCCTGCCTTCTCATCCTAGCCCCTGGGCTGGTGTGCCCATTTAGTCTCATTTTGTTTTATGGGCCTATCCAATCTTTGGCTGAAGGGTGAACCTCAGGAGTGACTTCATTACTGAACTAAAAGGGTGTCCGGGGCAATACTCTCAGGGTTTCTCCAGTCTGTATCAGATCAGTAGGTCTAATCTCCTTTTTTTTTTGTGAGTTAGAATTTTGTTCTACATTTTTCTCCAGCTCTGTCCAGGAGCCTCTATTGTGATTCTTGTCAGAGCAGTCAGTGGTGGTAGCTACGCACCATCTAGTTTGCTGGACTCAGTCTAGTGGAGGCTGTAGTACTTGTGGTCCGTTAGTCCTTTGGACTAATATTTCCCTTGTGTCTTTGGTTTTCTTCATTCTCCCTTGCTCCAGACAGGTGATATTAGTAGAATATCTTAGGTGGCTGCTCACAGGCTTTTAAGACCCCAGATGCTACTCACCAAAGTAGAATGTAAAACATTTTCTTTATAAACCATGTCATGCCAATTGAGCTAGATGTTCTCCGAGACCATGGTCCCCACAGCCCTCAGCCCAGTAATTTGGTCCCTCAGGGAGTTTGGATGTGAAACACAAATATCTTCACTTCTTTGTCCCATTCAGAGAGGTCTATCTGCATACCTCTTCCCCATATCTCCTTGTCTCCAATTTTCCAATCATGTTCCTTCCAAGTCCCTGACTATCCAGCCAACCATTGGCCACAGTCCATGAATCAGTGTATAATTGCACATCAGTATATAATGGTACAACCAGGTCCACTGCTTGAAGTTCTGCCCATTGAGAGAATTTCTCTTCTCCACTATCCTTCAGGGAGATGCCAGAAAGGGGCTGTAGTGCTGCCGCTGTACACTTTTGAGTGGTGTCTGCATATTGTGAAGAACTATCTGTGAACCAGGCACGAGTTTTCTCTTTCTCAGTCAAATGGTCATAAGGAACACCCTATGAGGCCATAGGTACAGACTAGGAGAGGGCAAGTAAAGTGACAGGAGTGGAGAACATGGGCATTTGGGCCACTTCCTCACGCAACTTACTTGTGCCTTCAGGCCCTGCTCTGGCCCCATCTTGTGTATAACAATTTCATTTAATGATGGAGTGCTACTGTGCATGTTCAACTTTATGGCTCTGTGGGTCAGATTACACTCAGTTCATGATGGGCAGCTCAGGCTACATGGTAACTCAGTGGCCCATGGTTAAGTGCTTAGTCTCTACTAAGGCCCAATAACAAACCAAAAACTGTTTCTGAAAAAAGAGGGTAGTTATCTGTGGAGGATGGCAGGGTTTTGCTCCAAAATCCTAAGGTTTTTTTGTTGTGATTCACCAACAGGGGCCTGCCAAAGACTCCAAACAGCATCTTTATCTGCCATTGACACTTCAAGCACCATTGGATCAGCTGGATCATATGGCCCAAGTGGCAGAGCCACTTGCATGGCAACCTGAACCTGCTACAGAGCATGCTGTTGTTCTGGGCTTCACTCAAAACTAGCAGCTTTTCCAGTCACTTGATAAATATTCTGGAGTAGCACACCCAAATGAGGGCACGTTGCCTTCAAAATCCAAAGAGGCCCACCAAACGTTGTGCCTCCTTTTTAGTTGTAGGAGGTGCCAGATGCAATAACTTATCTTTCACTTTAGAAGAACTATCTCGACATGCCCCACACCACAGGACTCCTAGAAATTTCATTGAAGTGGAAAGTGCCTGAATTTTTGTTGGGTTAATTTCCTACCCTCTAACATGCAAATGTTTTACCAAAAAGTATGGAGTCTTTGACACCCTTTCCTTACTAGGTCCAATCAGCATAATGTTATCAATGTAATGGACCAGTGTGGCATCCTGTGGAAGAGAAAGGGGATCAAGTTCCCTGTGGACTAAATTATGACATAGGGCTGGAGAGTTGGTATACCTCTGAGGTAGGACACCAAAGGTGTACTGCTGGCCTTGACAGCTGAAGGCCAACTGCTTTTGGTGGTCCTTCGAAACAGGTATGGATAAAAAGGCATTAGCCAGACCATTAACTGCATAGCAGGTGCCAGGAGATTTATTAATTTGCTCAAGTAGTGAAACTACATCTGCAACAGCAGCTGCAATTGGAGTCACCACCTGGTTAAGTTTTAGATAATCCACTGTCGTTCTCCAAGATCCACCTGTGTTTTGAACAGGCCAAATAGGCAAGTTGAATGAGGCTGTGGTGGGGATCACCACCCCTGCATCCTTCAAGTCCTTGATGGTGGTTTCTGCAATTTCTGCAATCCGTCCAGTAATGTGGTATTGCTTTTGGTTTACTATTTTGCTAGGTAGGGACAGTTCTAATGACTTCTACTTGGCTGTTCCTACCATAATAGCCCTTACTCCACTTGTCAGGGATCCAATGTGGGAGTTCTGCCAGTTGCTGAGTATATCTATTCCAATTATGCATTCTGGAACTTGGGAAATCACTACAGGATGGGTTTGGGGACTCACTGGACCTACTGTGAGACAGATATGAGCTAAGATTCTATTAATAACCTGACCTCCATATGTCCTCACTCTGACTGGTGGGCCACAGTGATGTTTTGGGTCTCTTGGAATTAGTGTCAGTTCAGAGCCAGTATCCAGTAAAATCCCTGAAAAATCTGATTGTTTCCTTTTCCCAAATGAACAGTCACTCTTGTAAAAGGCTGTAGATCCCTTTAGGGAAAGCTGGGAGAAAGATTAGCAGTATAAATTTTTAGCAGTGTAGTGGGGTCCTTTCTCAATGGGACACAGCCTCCCTTTCATTCAAGGGGTGTGGGTCTTTAAACTCACTCAAGTCTGGAAAATGATTGAGAGGCTGTGACTCTCTATTCTGGTGATTTGAGTTAGACTGTTGCTCACTTGACTTATAATTCTTTTGCTTGTACAGATCAAGTAAATATTTCACAGATTTCCCATCTATTTCACTCCTAGGGACACCATGTCTAAATAGCCAATGCCATAATTCCATATGAATCAGACTATTCTGATTACTGCTTTGACTCCGTTGTCCATTGCAGTAACCACACCCACATTGTCTTTGTCAAGTGCTGCTACTTGGCCCCTACTGCCACAGGGTCCAATCATCTCCATTGTAGTTAGGTGCCTCAATTCAGTTAGAGCAGTTCCCACTGTCAAGTCTGACTCACATAAAATAGCAATCACAGCAATCTTCAAGGATGCCGGGGCTCCCTTCACAAATATGTTCTTCACCATTGTCGTAAAAGATGTGTCCTCTGGGCACTCCATGCGTGAGTCTGTGGGTCTAATCTGATAAATCCACTCTAACATGCCAATTCCCCTAAGCCTTTGGATACCTTCTTCTACAGTATATCAAGGCAGGTCTGGTTCTTCAACTTGATTTAGTGTAGACCACTGTGTAATCCATGCTTTAGCTGCCCAACCAAATAAACTATTAGATCCTTTCCTAACCTCTCGAGCTGAAACATGGAATGAAGAATCTGTGCTTAGTGGACCCATATCAACAAACTCACACTGATTCATCTTTATGTTCCTTGCACCATTATCCCACACCCTTAATAGCTATTCCTATACATATTTCCCAG